AGTACAGACCTCTATAGCTGATGCTCCTCTGTAGTCTTGGCATTGTTTCTTTGGATGTTTTTGAGAAGTTCTTGTCATTGACTGATTCCTGTGTCTGGAACAGCTGATGAACTCCTAGTCGGTTCACTCTGCACCAAATGCCATACTAGACAGCCACAATACTCAGCACCTGGAATTATTTTTGAGCTGACAACCAAGACTTAAAAGCTTCATGCTTCACCATCAGTCCCAGGTGCTTGTTATTATGTTACTGACTGGAGTGTGTGTGCCTATATTGTCCTTTAAGGGGCAGCTTACAGTGAGGAAACATAAATAGAAGGTCTATCACTAGTATGCACAGCTAATTCTGGCATCCTCTTTTAGCTCAAGTAGTAGAGGTTAATGGTTGGGGGCTGGCATTTCTAGCCCTGGTTCCACATTATGGGCTACAAGTGATGACTGTGATCTCTGTAAGTAAGCTCTTTAAGCAAGGACTATCATTTACTGTATACTCCTTGCCCTGAATGGTCATTTGCAGAGCTTAACTGTCCCTTCTTTCAGTCCCTTCCCTTTCCATGGTATGGAAAACAGTCCCATTCCAGTCACATCCCATTTTCCTGGCACAAGCAAGCCCTGACCTTGCTTTGAGTTAGGATAGGAGGGAGTTGCATACTGAATTTGGTGGTCCTAGCTCTTACTAGGAGGAGTTCTTGAACAAATGGACTCACAGGTGGATGGACAGACAGACAGATGCACAAACTCTCTAAATATATCTATAGATATCTCTAGTTATATAGATTACAGAGTCAGAAAGCACCACCAGACTGGAAGAATATTGCCAATCCTGTCGATCTTGCTTTTGTGCTGTATTTCAGATGTGGGTTTGGTGGCTTGCCACACTTATGCCGTTGTGTGATGAAAATTCTCCAATGAGTATCCAAGAACTAAGTTCAAATGCTGACATCTACAAGGAACATAAAGTGCCCAGATAATCTTATTCTCAGCATCAAACATCTGGATTTTCCCCCTCTTTGTGTTGGAATCATTGCTGACAAACCCCTTTTGGCAACTGTTTTCCATGGAGACACCAAGCTGATGCACCACTGCAATCAGGGCTTTTATGAAAGCTTGACTACTGGTACCTTCAACATATGTGCACCAAAGTGTTTCCCATTTCAGATCACTGCCCCGATAGTGTCAAGAAGACTCAGTGTAAATGACATTTCCTCCTTGGGGCTAATGTCAGGGCTGCAGTCTAATGAGTGGTGATTTGAAATGCTAGTGAAAAGTCCAATAGTCTGGATTTAATTCTTTGAGACAGGAGTTGTATTCATGCATTCTGATTGAGATGCAGAGGTGGTGGCACAGCACCTGACATCTGATGCATCTCATATATTCTTGTATAACTAGATCCATTTTTAAGTACCTGAGATGGGCCAAAAAAGCTGCCATATTTCAAGTGGAATAATTCATGTAACAGTCTCCAAAAACTATATCCCATTAGCCTTTCAAAATCCCCTTATATCCCATTAGCCTTCTTGCTAGTGTATGGCCTCAGAACCCATTGGTCTTCTACATCAACAAGGTGACAAGGCAGTAGATGCAATTCCAGGTCAGACCATTTCTGGGGAATTCTTTTGCTGTGGTTCAGAGATCAACTCTGTTAGTTAAGAACCTGGGTCTCATCTTTGTTTTAGCCCTTAAAGAGGTACGGTTTTATTTTAGCAGTCAAATCTTCAACCAATGCAGAAAATATAGCTGTTTTTGAGAGAATGCAATAGCTCTCTCCAGATAACTTTTTCCCATTAGGAAGGGTTTACTTAATTAAATTGGCAGTTATCACCAGATCATGGAAGATCAAAAGCTATTATTCAGATAGGTAATTTTCTCCAGCAACATGCATTATGCAAGTGCTGTCACTGCCAGCCACCTCAGGTCACTATGGCAAGATCATCATAGTCACTCCTTACGATCAGAAGTGATATGTTTTTATCATGCGTCAGTTTTACAAGTTCAGAAGAAAAACCATGAACCGCTGTACCAGGGATGTGTCTTCTCAAATTAATGGTCAATAGCATCCTATTTAGGTGGAGAATTCTCCATTTGTGAATGACAGGTCCAAATGCACATACTGCAAATCAACTGGCTCAAAACTGAGGGTTGCAGACCTCTGCCCCTGCTGTTGCTGCTCTGTGAAGGATTGGCTACCATGAGCCATGTTAGAGCAGCCTGAGGGATACTCTAACTCAGTGGCCTCCAACCTTTTTAATCACAAAATCACTTTTTCAATTTAAGTGCAATATAAGATCTACCCCAAACCCATATACCCTGGCCCCACTTCCTTCCTGCGCCTTCCTTGGGGTCCCACCCCTGCTTTACCCCTTCTCCATGGCCTTGCCCTGCTAACCCCATCCCCCTTCTTCTCCCATCCTCATTCACTTTCACCAGGCTAAGTTGGGATTTGGGGTGCAGGCTCTAGTCTTGGGCCAAGGAGTTTGGAGTGTGGGAAGGGCTCCGGGCTTAGCCCAAGACAGGAGATTGGGGTCCAGGAGAGGTTTCAGGGTACAAGCTCTGGGAAGGAGTTTGGGTGCAGGGGGGACTCACGACTGGGGCAGGAGGTTGGATGTAGGAGGAGGTTCAGAAAGCAGGCTCTGGCTGGGCACCGTTTAACTGAGACAACTTCCGGGTGCTGGAGCAGTGGGATTAAGGCAGGCTTACTCCTGCCCTGGCCCTGCACCACTCACGAAAGCATCTGGCATGTACAGCAATAGCTCCATGGTGCTATGTGCTGCCCCTCATCTACAGGCATTAAGCCCACAGCTTCTACTGGTCATGGTTTCCCATTATTGATCAATGGGAGCTGCAGGAGTGTGGTACCTGCAGGTAAGGACAGCACAGGGAGACCCCCTGCTCTGCCTTTCTTAAGGGCTGTAGGGACATGCCAGCCACTTCCAGGAGCAGCAGTTACCACAGAGATAATGACTCCAGCCACGACAGGTTAGGCATTTTAGAACTCACAACTCCAAGAATTAAATTTAAGCCTAAGAGAAATGAAAATTATGCAATGCACAGACCAGTCAAAAACCAAAAATAAGCCACTTTGCAAGCAGTAACAGAAATAACAACAACCCCACGAATGTGTTGGGTCAGGAGAGGAGAGTGAAGGAAAGATGGTGGGATGTGTTTGTGAGAATGACAGAGACGTGAGAGTGACAGAGATTTGCATTGCCAAGCTCCCTCCATCCCCTTCTCTCTGTGTGGAGATATGGTACAGAAGTGGGGAAAGGAGGGACACCCAGACATCAGCGCCCCTCCTTCTCCTTCCCCAACTCTGCAGGAGTCTCCCAGGGTGGCAGCTCCAACGCAGAGGTCAGGAGCAGCATAACAATGGGTGGAGGGGCAATCGAAGTACCAGCACTTGATAGCTGCCTGGCCAAACTAGTCAGGATCACCTGTCAGAGGCTCCGAGATCTACCAGTAGATCCCGATCTAGTGGTTGGTAACCACTGCTCTAACTTATGATGGGCTGCAAACAAACACTTCCTGAGGCTGTTTTGCTGGCTTTCAGACCACTTTGTGCTGGCAGCATGACACACAGTAGCCACACCATAACAGAGCAGCTGACCATATAACTTGGCCTTTGACCTGAGTCTGACTGACCATTACAATGTCTAGAAACAGATACGGCTGTGTTCTATAGAACTGTTCACTACAGGGCTTTCCGCAAGATAGCTTTTTAAGAATTCAGCAAACACCCTGCTCATTCTTAGTTGCTGCAAGGCTATTATTTAGCAATACTGAAAGCATGGTATAGCGAGAGCAGGAACAAGTGCTCCAAGCTGGAGGAACCTGCTTGCACTGCCAGCAGGAGATCATATGCAGACTCTGGACAGAATTCTGATCTTACTGATGCAAATAAGGAATGATCCCATTGACATCAATCTCCTGGCTCCCCCTGCTCCCCCATGCTGGAACAGGAGACCCATGAATACATGGAACTGTGAATGGCAATTCTGTGAACCACAAGGGCCTCCTGTACATTGTGCAAAAGTAGCATATGGTCAGAATCAAGCCAAGTGGCCATCCACATGACCTGTGTTTTCTAAAAACACAAATGTACAGACAACTGAGTTTGTAAGACAAATATTCCAACTGATGTGGTGGTAGAAGTTATTATTGCAGTAGCGTTTTGAGGCCACAGTCCCCCAGGGTTAGTGAATGTACGAACACATGATAACTACACAGTCCCTGCCCAAAATAGCTTAATCTAAGTTTTAAAACAAGTGACAATGAAAAGATATATCTGACAAATCAAGGGAGCACAAGCTAACAATGAAACGACAAAGCAGTAGACACAGCCCTCACAGCAACCTCACTGTGTGCAATGTTTTTGTGTGGTAGCCCAACAGAGGAACTAAGCTGAGACCAGCAACAAAACTTCACGCATGACCTAAAAACAAGACTTAAACAAAGTTTAACATAGGCAAACAACTACTCCCTTCGTGCCTTGTGCCACTTTTCTTCAGCCTGACTCCAGATCTCCTGGTCAACAGAGAAATTAATTTAAGTCAAGGGAGAACTTTAAATGCCTGTTTAAAATTAAACAAGTAGGAAAACTTGCATCCTTAGACTCCCTTAATGAGAGCATTCTATTTTCAGAGCAGAAGGCCATAGATAATGACAGCAAGGTGAGTCCGACTGGTAAATTTAGGGCTGGAAGACCATCTGTGTAACAGAGAGATTGATTGTGTTTGGTTTTTATGATGGGCACAAGGACAGGTGAAAAGGATGTCACATGAATGAATCCTTCAGTCACTTTACATCAATATTACTAAAAGCTTGTTATAGACTTAAGCACTGGGTGATATATAAGCACATCATTAGAAGGTAGTGCAGAGATGGTTATAAACAACCTGTTGGACTCTGTAACAATTGATTAAAGATTTTAAAACATCTATTGTAATTATTTATTAACTCTTTATAAACTATACAGCCTGACTGGTCTTTCGTTGTTTGCACAGATGAGAGGAAAGGGAAGCGGCGAATCCGGACGACATTCACAGCAGAGCAGCTCCAGGAGCTAGAGAAGATTTTCCAGGTCACTCACTACCCAGACATTCATATCCGCACCCAACTAGCAGCAAAGATCAACCTCCCAGAAGCCAGGGTCCAGGTATAAACTGTGCCCCTAAAATGCCACACACACACACACACACAACTTCAAAATGCATTACTATGGAGCTAAATATCATTATCCTTATTTTACAGAGAAAACAAAAAAGTATCACTCCAGATGGGATTAACCAAATGATTTATAAATAACCGATATAATAAGCAGCCTATCCCATATATAAGTAATGTGTTATAAATGGCAGTAAGCAACCTGCTAGACTCTATAACAACTGATTGACCACTTATTAAATTGTCTAATCACTTACTAATCACCAATTCTTTACAAACTATGTGGCTGTGTCTAGACTGACAAGTTTTTCCGGAAAATCAGCAGCTTTTCTGGAAAAACTTGCCAGCTGTCTACACTGGCCACTTGAATTTCCGGAAAAGCACTGATGATCTCATGTAAAATCATCAGTACTTTTCCGGAAAAACCATGCTGCTCCCGTTTGGGCAAAAGTCTTTTTCCGAAAGACTTTTGCGCAAAAGGGCCAGTGTAGACACCATAGTACTGTTTTCCTCAAAAAAAGCCCCGATCACGAAAATGGCGATCGGGGCTTTTTTGCGGAAAAACGCGTCTAGATTGGCCACGGACACTTTTCCGCAAAAAGTGCTTTTGTGGAAAAGCATCCTGCCAATCTAGACGTGCTTTTCCAAAAATGCTTTTAAAGGAAAACTTTTCCATTAAAAGCATTTTCGGAAATTCATGCCAGTGTAGACATAGCCGCCATGTATATTTCATATGAAGTGTGACCTACATTCCTGTTCTGCACCATTTCAAAAATTAGCCCAAATGGAAACACAGTGTGTAACTTCTCTGTAATTCTATGTTTGATACCGTATATGGCAGACCCATGGGCCACATTCTCTGGGGGCATAGATCAGCATATCTTTGCTGGGCTTTTATGGAACTATTCTGATTTATGCCAACTGAGGAGCTGACACTACAACCTTACTGCATGTGAGATTTATTACATTTAAAATATATTTGCATGCAGCAGATTTGCACGCTGTTTACAAGACACTAGAGGGGAATGCCACGGACTTTATAACTGTAACATGCTAAGTCCAATTCTATATGGAAATCTTTCATCTGCAGGGTGATCTCCTCAGCAAGATGCTGGTTCTGCTCTCCTTCTCCTACTTCGTGGGAAGGGTTTCCATACAATGAGGCCTCAGTGTAAATGAATCCTGGTATAATACATAATGTTCAACTCACAGGAAATCTTGTATGACTGAGACTAATTTTCAACAAGCTATCATTTTTGTTGCCTAACATTTAGATGACAAGAGAATATTAGAATGGAACAGCCATAGCACAGACATTAGTAAGGATAGTTTACTCACAGTGCTCTATCACAGGGCTGGGCAAAACATGGCCCATGGGCCAGATCTGGCCTGCCAAGCCATCAAATCTGGCTTGCAGGCCAGCAGGGAGCCTCAGGTAGGCTCTCTGCCTGCTCTGATCCTGCATGCCACTCGGAAAAGCAGCTGTGGGGCCCTGTTTGTCTTTGAACAGCTGTGAACTGAGGCGGGGAGGCTTTGCATGCTGCCCCCACCTCCAGCACAATCCCATTGGTAGGTTTCCAGCCAAATGGAGCTCCTTGTTTGAAAAACAGGAAGTGTGCCAAGTACACTTCTGCCTCTTCTCAGTTTATAAAGCACAAGAAGGAGGACTATTTAGTGTCTGCCGTAGACCACCAAATCACACTAGAGAACAGGCCCACCAACTGCTTAAGTACCTATCCACAGTGTGTAGGAAAATAGCTGCATGATCATGAACTACTTCAATTTGAGGGACATACACTGGAGCTCTCATGCTGCCAGCACTAAAACATTCTTAGAATTTCTAATAGTTATACATGGCAGTTTGCTAACTCTACAACTATTGCAGGTGCATCCATTATTTAAATAAGATTATAAATTTGGTTGAGAACGGTAATAGTATTGATGTGATCCACTTAGACCTCCATAAGGTATTTGATTTGGTACTGCACAACATGGCTATTAGGATACTAGAATGCTGTAAAATCAACATGGTACCTATTACATGGATTAAAAGCTGGCTAATTGACAGACCTAAAAATGCACTAATAAATAAGGAATCATCCCTGAGTAGGTGTTTTGTGAAGTCCTTCAGATCCCTATGCTATGTACATTTCATATGAAGTGTGACCTACATTCCTGTTCTGCACCATCTCAAAAATTAGCCTGTAGTCTGCACTATTTAACATTTTTATAAATATTCCAGAAGAAAACATAAAATCATTGCTGATAAAGTTTGCAGATGACATAATGACTGGAGGAGTAGTAAATACTAAAGAGGGCAGATCACTGATACAGAGCAATTTCGATTGCTTGGTAAACTGGGTGCAAGCATATACTATGTTTTTAATACAACCCAATGTAAATGTAAACATCTCTGAAAAAAGATTATAGACCACACTCATCGGATGGTGGACTCTATCCTGAGAAACCTTGACCCTAAAAAGGTATTGGGGGCATAGATGATAAGCAGCTGCGCATGAGCAATCAGTGTGACCCTAAGGGCTGATGTATACCTTATTTATATAAACTGGGGAATCTCAAGTAGGACTAGAGAAGTTATATTCCTTCACATTGATGCAATCACTGCTGAAATGTGTCTATTTCTGTTGCCCCAAATTAAAGAAAGATGCTGGGTAAAATTTTCAAAAGCACTTGAATGACATAGGCTTACAGCCCAATGAGACATAGACTCCTTTAATCATTCTACTGCTTTTGAAAATTGAACCTGATAGTATAGAAAGAAGTGTCGTGACTACGGCTCAGTTGATAACACTTTCACTATGAGCCAGTAGATCATCCAACTGAACCCTGCACCAGGTCTTTCACTCATTGTTATGTCTACTGGGGGAGATGCACTGGAGCGCTCACGCTGCTGCTACTAAAACATTCTTAGAATTTCTAGTAATTATAGGTGTCAGTTTGCTAACTCAACCCCCCATACTAGGGGCTCTGCCTTCCAGAAAAGCATTAAAATAAGGATCCCTCATTATGTCTCCTTGGGTATGTCTACACTACCACCCTAGTTCGAACTAGGGTGGTAATGTAGGCAACCGGCGTTGCAAATAAAGCCCGGGATTTGAATTTCCCAGGCTTCATTTGCATCTCGCCGGGCGCCGCCATTTTTAAATGTCCGCTAGTGCGGACTCCGTGCTGTGCGGCTACACGCGGCACCGACTAGGTAGTTCGGACTAGGCTTCCTATTCCGAACTACCGTTACTCCTCGTTTCACGTGAATAATGGTGGCGCCCAGCGAAATGCAAATGAAGCCCAGGAAATTCAAATCCCAGGCTTCAATTGCAACTCCAGTTGCCTACATTACCACCCTAGTTCGAACTAGGGTGGAAGTGTAGACATACCCTTAGTGCTGTTTAAAGATCCCATCACTTTCCCAAAAGGATAATGGAAAGCCCCAGTATGCTGACTGACAGACCTTGCTCCATGTGAACTATTGCCAATTAAATAATGGCCAAACACAGATACTATAGTATGAAAGGTACATTGTGAACACAAATTCTGGTGTGTAGGTTGGGTTATTAGCCATACTGGCCTCTTCTCCCCGGATGCATGTTGCCCTCCATCAGGACTTCAAAGAGTATCAGAAATAGCTCTTTGAAACAGAAGTGAGCTATTTTGTTTGACCTACCTTATTCCTGCTATGCCTTTTTGTCTTTCCTCCTTTTCCTTCTTCACCCAGATCTGGTTCCAGAACCAGCGAGCAAAGTGGAGGAAACATGAAAAATGTGGCTATTTCGGTGGCCTCCAGCATCTGAGCGAGGCTGATTTCATTCCAGCTCCAAAGTTGGAAATCACTGTGAGTACGGGAGGCCATGTGTAAAGGAGAGTCATACCCTTTTCGGTATCACACCTTTGTGTAGGTGTTACCCGAGGGAGGGGGAAGAAAAGGAAGAAAGAATCTTTGTGACACAAGAGAATCCCAGCATAGGCTATTGCAATTCTTCTGAGGGGCATTGTGCCTTTCTTTCTAAAACAAAGTCTATTCAGAGCATATTTGGGGAGGTGAATCTTGGCAAAAATATTCTTCCTCCCTTTAATTCCAAGCCTTTTCCCCAAAACCCTGCACTGGACCAACCTGTCCTTCCAGCCACATTTTAGTTAGACACAGTGTGGTCAATTGAGTAATGTTATGTATTTCCTCCCTTCAGAGGCTGAACATGTTGTCTCTGAGGCCCTCACCTTTTTTTATGTCAATTGGTGAGCAACCATTTGAGAAGAGAAACACCTTGCAGAATCCATAGGCTAGAAGAGGACTAGCTAGGACTCTTGCTGTAGGCAACCATCCCAACTCATTGCTCTACAAAACTTTTGCCATGTCTATGCTATTTTGTTAATCTGCGGTTGTTTTGCCCCTCTATTATTTCCTAGATAGGGCAGCGTTACTCAAGTTGGCACACACGATCGGTCTCTCTCCTGTTCCAGGCGTGGGAGAGGTTCTGTGGCCTCAAATGTGCAGGAAGTCAGACAGCAACCTATGGCTCTTGAGCCAAATATAGCTCCCAAAATGCACAAAACTAAGGGTGAACGTAAGGCAGTGCGCCCTGGTAAGAACCGGCTGCACGCCAGCAAGAGCTGGTGAAGACACTCTGCTTGTTTAAAGGGCCGGCTGAGGCCGCTCTGTGGGGGACGCATGGTCACTCCCAGCTGGGATAATGAGAGGGTCTGGCAGCAGCAGATGCCTCCATCTGACCATGTCATCCCAGCTCCAGCTCTCCATCTGACTGCCATGGTCTGTCCCCAGCTGCTGTGCTCCTGGGGCAGACCCTAAAGCCCAGGCCCAGCAGCCCCTGTGACTGCTGCAACAGTCTGGCCATGGCAGCTCGGTTCAGGCTTCATCTGTGGCAGCCTAGCCAGCAATGCCCCAATTGGGGGCAAAGCCACATCTGGATGCAGCTTCCTGTCACCGGCCCTGATCCTGAGACGACCCCAGACCCCATGGTCTGGCCGCAGGAAGGGCTGATGCCGCCGTCCTTCCTCCTGCTGCTGCATGGGTAGGAGAGGCCACGATCTAGCTAAAGCCATCCTGCCCAG